AAGGAAAACAAAGCATAACCTTGTAACTGGTCACCCTGTGCCAGAGAGCATCTGGAATGCTAGGCCAACCTTGGGTTTTTGTCTTCTGTGATGTGGCCTTGTGCCTCATGTGTTCCAGGCTGCATAGGCGCTCAGCTGCAACACCTACCATCCACACTACCCGATGGTTGCTGATTATGCCATTCTGCTGGGAAGTTGGAGCTCAGGGCTAAATTAGTCTAAAAACATCACCCACTTCCTTTCTTACAAGTTTTTGCATCTTTATGTAAAATGTGGGTGGAAGCACTGTGATCTCATTAACGTCAGTCCTGCAGTAGGGATAGAGAGGCTGGATCCTGTGTCGATGGAGTGTTAGGAGTGTTTCAGATGGGTTTCCAAGAGGATATCAGTGCTCTAGATGCAGGCTGGCTTTGCTCACTGGCACTGTGAGTTCACTTGCAGTCAATGGAAAGAAGGAGGCACTCTAAGTGCCTCAAAGAAAGCTGTCATTTTCTGCAGGTCTTCAGAAGTGCCTCTCTCTGTGTCCTCTGCCCATACAGCAAACCTGAGGAATTAGATTGCTCCTTTTGTCCCTTCCAGGGCTAAGACACCTAAACTTTCATTGAGGTAATACTGTCTCAGTGAAGTATCTAAAGTAGATGGATGAGATTCCAGCCTGAATACTTGAGGCTTTGCAGTAAATGACTGCAAGAAAAAAAAGTGTCAATAAGAAGATGCAAGCTGTTGAAAACCAAAGAAAAGAAAGTATTGATTAAAATGAGGCTGTATTAGAAGACTGATTTAAAAATAATCAAAGACTACAGCCTTTTGTATTTACTTTCATTCCTCCTCCATGCCCCATAAGCCTTTAGAAAAAAATAGTTTAATATATTGCTGGAAAAAATTTTCCTTATCTTTTCTGTGAGGCTGTACTCATAAACTGTGGAGGGCTGAAAATCATTGTAACACACTGAGAAAAAGCAGTGGGTCAAATAAGACTGTAATATTAACCCATCAGATTTCCCTCAGTCTAATTCCTTGGATAGCATTGTCTGAAAAAAAGACAGAGAAGTATTTATTGCAGTAGCTTGAATATGCATCAATTTATTTTATTATACTAGAAAACATGAGAAAGTATGGTTTATTTATATACAGATTGTGTAAATACACTGTAGGCAAGTTTCACAGTTTAATGTTGAAAGAGCTTTCATTAATGGTGTAGTTCTGAGAAAAGGATGTAAAGCAACATAAAAGAGTTGAGATTTGATTTTTACAGAGATAAGTTGAAAGAATAATTCACCTTTAGTAAAAGTGTTTCTTCTTTCATGTTGTTTTATGTGTTGCTCTTTCTACTACTCCATGCATGGTTGCAGAAAATATACATTAAGAATGAATCCCTCATTGATGTGACTTAATGATGTCTATCATTTATGTTTGCCTAATTCTATGTGTTAATAAAAAAAATAATAATCGCCAGAGATCCATAAAATTAAATGGTTTGTTTTGTCCCAAAGCAACAACACACTATGCTTTTACTTTATGTGCACTTCTGACAGAAGATATGAAGTCAGTTCTGCTGAGCAATGTAATCTGATACTGAAAAATATGTTGTTGTTGTTTTTTTTTTTAGAAAGTATAGAGTGGGTTGTTTTTTGGGTTTTTTTTTAAGGCTAGGAGATTACATTTCAAATACACTTCCAGAACTTTGTATGGCTCCCCATCTTTCTCAGAGACAAAAAGTTACCTGAAGGTTTGAAACTGAATTTATCGGCCAACGTCCCCTATTGTTCAATGACCGATATTTGGTTTGTATCGATACTGAGGCTCATCTGCATTTTTGAAAACCCACCAGTTCTGTGAATGAAAACCACGACATCAGGACTAGGCACTCTATTCCTATAGTCGAGACCAGTCACCTACCAGAAGAACTGGTAGACAGGACCCACATTTCTGTCCTGAGTACTCAGACTAAGTTCTCAAACTAAGGCTGAGGACACAAAACTAACGAAACTTTCGAGTTACAGCATGCGATATACCAGTTATCACTGTAAAGAAGGTATTCATCAGACAGGTGTAAAATTCCGGCTCCTGAGGTAGGAAGGCTCCGTACTCTGAACTACTTTCGGAGAAATCGGTACCTGCAACTGAGACTTCGAGAGGGGTGAGCCAGAGGGATGCCCGAGGTGACGGGGCCCTGCCCAGACCCAGCGATGCCGTGGGAATCCGCAGAAGCCCCTCATTTGTGCCAGAGCGAAGGGAAATGGTGAGACAACCCGATGAGCGCTTTCAGACACGGGATCCTGAAACAACGCCGGGTGCCCCACTCCGCCTAGGCACCGACCGCTCCTAGCTGTCACAGACCTGGAGGCAGGAGTCTCTGCGCCCCAACCCGGCGGCCTCCCCGGGCGGGCTGTCACGCCGCCGCCCCCGCCTCGCCCCTCG